GAGAAGGGTTGACAGGGTGTTCAGGGTCTCACTACTAGATCAGACTCATAGTGATTCTCCTGTTTACAGCCTCCCAAGTGCTGGGATTACAGGCATGCGTCACCATGCCCAGGCTCAATTGCTGTCTCAGCATGCCCCAGGAGAGGGGCCTTTGCAGCAGGCCTGGGGATCGAACCCCTGGCCCCTGTACCTGCTTGCAGGTGCTTTAATCCACTGAGCTATTTGGCCAGCCCTAATCCTGCTGAGTATTTTAGTTCATGCATATTAATCTTAGAAGGGTCCATAAACCTCCCCAGCATGCTAAAGGGAGTCAGTCACTTGTGGTAGGAAACAAGCAAAAAGAAAAATAAAGAAAAAAAGTTTAAGAATTCTTATAAAGATAGATTAAAGAAAGAGAAAGGAGGATCCGCAAGATAGCAGTCTTGATGGTTTCCTTTGAAACACAAGTCTTAACTGTTCATGTAGTCTAATTTGTGTTTTCTTTGGTTGCTTGTGTGTTAGATGCCATATTTAAGAAACTGTTGCTTAATGCAAAGTCATGAAAATGCACTTGTATTCATTCTTTTTTGTTTGTTTGTTTGGCGGAACCAGGGATTGAACTCAGATCCTTGTGTTTGCCAGTCAAGCACTTATCCTACTGAGCCATCTCCCCAGCCCTTGTATTCTTTCTGAGGTACTTTTTCGTATGTGGTTTAAGGAAAAGGTCAAATTTTGTTCTTCGACATACAGATATATCTAATTCTGGCATCATTTGTTAGGAATATCTCTCAGTGGATTGTCTTAATATTCTTATCCAAAAATCAGTTGATAAAAATGTAGGGTTTTTTTCTTCTTTCCTTTTTTTTTTCTTTTTCTTTGAGACTGGGTCTCATTGTGCAGTTCAGGCTGTCCTTGAACTCACTATGTAGCTCAGGCTGGCCTGGAACTCATTTGGCAATCCTCCTGCCTCAGCCTCCCTAGATCTGGGATTGTAAGCATGCACCACCACGCCTATTTTTAGAATTTTAAATCTGTCTCATTTATTTGCATGTCAGTCCTTATACTAGTATCATATTATCTAATTAAGTCTTCCAACTTTTTTTCCCTTGATTGTTTTGGCTATTTGGGGTCCTATCTACTTCTATCTGAATTGTACTATAAGCTTAGCAGTTTCTGTGTAAAGACACATGGGATTCTCATACAAACTGCATTGAAGTATATTTTGGCTTGATTAGTATTGTTATCTTAGCAGTTAAGTTTTCCAGTCCCTGCCTGGGATGTCATGGTTTTTTTTTCTTTTCTCGGAACTGGGGATTGAACTCGGGCCCTTGTGCTTGCCAGGGAAGCCCTTATTCCACTGAGCCATCTCCCCGGCCCCTAGAACATCTTTTAAGTTTTCAACAATGTTTTATAGTAGCTGAATAGTAGCTATATGCTTTTTATCTTGACATTTAATGGTTTTCTTCACATCATGGCAGAAATTCATGAGTGATCATGGATATTTTTTTCTATAGTACTCCAGTCTGCTCATTTCATATCATGTTAAAGTAACTCTTGGTCTTAATACTCATTCCTTTCTACTTTGCCATCAGTATACATTTGATTTTAATGTGTTGCACTCTTTACCTTTCCAAGGTGTTATCTTTATTTCTGTATCTCTGATGTCTGTAGAAACACATAAAATCAGCGGATTAAAGTGCCTGCAAGCAGGGGTGGGCCAGGGTTCCATCCTGCCGTGTTGGCCCCGCCCCCACCCCTGGGGCTTGCTGAGATGGCAATTGAGATGAGGCCTGGGCCCGGGCCCAGTGGCGCTTCCCTGTAATCCCAGCTCTTGGGAGGCTGTAAAGAGGTGGCTCACTAAGAGTCCGATCTGGTAGTGAAACCCTGAACACCCTCTAGACTCTTCTCTAAAAAATTCAAAAAAAGAAACACATACTTTCTCTGTTAGAGTTTCTCAATACGTATGGTAGTTCTTGGAGACTTCCCTTAGGCTTACAGTCAAGAAAACTGTCTAACCCCACTGTCTTTAGCAATCTTGTGCACTTGTATAAGCTTATTTGTTGTAAATTTTAGCATACCAATTTTAGGAAAAATTTGTGTCATGTAAAGAATTTTTAGAAGCAAATTCAGACTTGGTTATCCAGGTAAATAGCTTCCTAACCCTTCCCTCTGTGTATTTGCTTGAGTTTTCCCTGGAGTACTCCCTAAAGGAAAGAAACCTCTCAAATCTTACTTTACTCTATCCAGTTAGTCTAATTGCTCATTTTGACTAGATAACTTCTTCCTTCGTTAAACATGTTTATTCCAAATAACTGTATTCTCAGTATGGATTTTTGTAGGTGCTAAGTGAGATAATTGTTGACTTTAGTAATCAAAACGTCATCTGATCATTGCAGAGCAAACACATACAATTTATTCATGTTTTCTTTTTTTTCATGTTTTCTTTGTACCTTTGCTTTTCCTCAGGCCCTTCTTAAGATTCCATTTTCTCGGGGCTGGTGAGATGGCTCAGTGGTCTAAAGCACCTACTTAGAACAAGCTTAGCAAAGCACAGGGACCAGGGTTCAATCCCCCAGCACCACATGCCAGCCAGCCCCGCCCCCTGGTGGGCTGAGCTGGCCACACACACACACACACACACACACACAATAAATAAACTTTAAAAAAAAAGATTCCATTTTCTTTGCCAATGCATGTCAGTCTTAAGCTAAGAACTATGTTAATTCCTCAGATCAGTTCCTTCATTCATTAAAAAATAGATTTTCTTCCAGAAGACTTTGGTAACGCCAAACCATTTTAAGCCTTTAAAATTGTTGGATCTCTTGTTCTTTTCTTCTATTGAAACTTGTCTGCTTTGTTCAGCTCTCCAAGAGATGTAATACAAGACACTCCAGCGAAGTACATATTCTGAATTCTTAACAGAACTTTATCCTGAATCTTTTTTGCTGACAGTTGAATAATTTAGATGGAAACTTTTAGTATATTTAGTTTTCTGTCTCAAAACTTACAGCAGGGGTTAAAGCTTTCTCTTTAACCACTAAGAGTTTCTTTTTTCTTCTTCTATAGACCATATGTTTTGAAAGATTATCTGTTAACAATCACAATTTGTTAAATAATTTACCATTTAAAAAATTTATCATCCATAATTGGGTTGCTATTGCTTTTGGGTTCTTTGAGCACCGTTTGAACATCATTGATGAGTTGGAACATGAACTTTGAAGGTGGCCAGACCTAAATTAAGATCTGGCTTTACCAATTAGTGATGGTGAATACTGGGCAGGTTATCTATTAGTTCTTAAACTTTGCTCATCTTTAAAAATAAGAATCTTAATTTTAAAGGGTTTTTGCAAAGGTTAACAAATGCAGGTATTCCCAGTGTAATCCTGGGCACATATTTCCAATATGGTATTATCTGTATTCTTTCAGTTCATTTTTATCAGGCAGGTACTTAGGCCACTGAGCTATCTCTTGGCCCTGCTCTTTCAGTTCATTTTAATCTCTTAGCCATATGTTAATTATGGCCCCTCAAAATGCCCTTTAAATCTGTGTAGGTGGCAGTTTTTATTTGGATAGCTTCATATAAGTTATAGCAGGTGCTTTGTGAAGTAATACAGGTAGAAGAATGTGCAGAAAGAAACATGTGCATACATAGTTGATAATTGTGTCAGCTTGCTTTGTGTGCAACTGTATTTGATTTTCACTTCTGTCTTGTGGGAAGAATGACTTTTATTTCACTAGTTAGCCAGCCTTATCACAGCAGCACATGGCAGGCTTGCAGATCCCTCAGTGGTAGTGTCGAGCTAAGGAGTCTGTACCTTAAGTGTAAGGAATGCGACTGTAGGAATAATTGAAGTTTCATTTATTCTAAAGTACAACAGGAATCTGAGAAAAAAGTGTAAAATACTAAATTGTTTGAAATAAAATTGGTATACAAATTTTTTGTTGTTGCCTTACAGTCCACAAGAATCGGAATGTCTGTTAATGCCATTCGCAAGCAGAGTACAGATGAAGAAGTTACATCTTTAGCAAAGTCTCTCATCAAGTCCTGGAAGAAGTTACTAGGTATAATTGATCTTCCTTTGCATGTATTTATGACATTCTGGTTCATTCGAGTGATGGTTGTATTTCTTTTTTTTTTTTTTCTCTATGAATATACTGAAGTTAGTTTCTCCTAATCAAGGTGAGGAAAAGTCAGATGTGGTGGCACATAATTCTTAGCACTCAGGAGGGTGAGGCAGGAAGTTCACTACAAGTTCAAGGCCAGCCTTGGCTCTACATAAGGAGTTCAAGGACACCATGAACACCTATATATAGATGGATGGATGGATGGATGGATGGATGGATGGATGGATGGACAGACAGACGAATAGACAGACGGACTGGCTGAGGTAGGTTAGGGGATTAGTTCAACACACTCCCGATGGCAAATTCATGGTTCAGTAAATTAAGCTTTCTTGACTTCTGGCACACTTACCAGGATAAACTTTTGAAGAATTTGTTTGCAAGGGAAAAATTGTGCATAGTTTTTGAAATAACTTTTTTTTTTACTTTTTAAGCTTTTATTTATTTATTTATTTATTTATTTATGCGCGCGCGCATGTGTGTGTGTGTGTGTGGGGCCAGCTCAGCCCACCAGGGGGCGGGGCTGGGTGGCATGTGGTGCTGGGGGATTGAACCGCGGTTGCCTGTGCTTTGCTAAGCTTGTTCTAAGTAGGTGCTTTAGACCTCTGAGCCATCTCACCAGCCCCTTTAAGCTTTTTTTAACTTACAAAAAACTTGCAGAAGTAGTAAGAACTCATATTTCCTTTATTAAGATCTTTTAAAATATTTACTATATTTAATCATTATCTTTTGTTATGTTTTTCTGTTTGAAGTGGATTGATATACTGTTTCTTTATCCTGTAATATCTAAATGTGTATTTTTTTAGAACAAGCTTGTTTTATTAATGGAACTATAGCATAGGAAATTTAACATGTTTATAGTTTTTAATCTATGTTCCATGTTCCAGTTTTGTCAGTAATACCCTCTATAGATTTTTTTTTTTCCTACGTCAGGATAAGGTCCAGTCCAGAATCACATATTTAGTTTCTTAATCTGGAATTCTTACCCCCTCCCCCCCACTTTTTAAACTTTCTATGACAGTGAAGAGTATAAATATCCTTTGACCTCTTATTTTTGGTAACATGTACTTTCTTTGGGCTTTACCCACTGCTCTCATATAAGATGAGATCGCATATACATTTAGACTTCTGTGGAAGTGTGTTATGTTCTTCTCAAGATATAAAACCCACACAAGTTTACACCACATGACTTACTGTCTTTTTATAACAAATAGGTATTTTGTGGTGGATGGTTTAAGATTATAAAACCATTTCATACTTCATTAGCACTTCTCCCAATTTATTTAATTTTATTTATTTAATGTTTGTTTATTTAAATTTTTAATTTAGTTTATTTACTTTTTTTGGAGACAGGGTCTCACTATGCAGCTTAGGCTGCCCCTGAGCTCGCTCTGTAGCCTGGGCATGGTGTTTTTCCCACCTCAGCCCCCTGTGCTTGGATCACAGGTGTGTCCCATGCCCAGCCTCTCCCCTAATTTAGCATCTTTTGACTTTTTAATCCAGGAAGTTTTTGATTAAAGGAAAACAGTTTTCTTTTCCTTTCCTGGTTTCTTTTGGTGCTGGAGAATTGAGCCCATGACTTTATTGTTCTCATACTAAGCTTCATCCTCAAGGGACACAGAAACATACACACAGACACACACATACAGTACACGCACACACACACACACACACACACATACACACCTTTGAGACAGAGCCTTGTTAAGTTGCCCAGGTTGTACTCCAACTTGTGATACTCCTGTCGCAGCCTCTTTGGTACCTGAGATTACAAGCGTGCCACCATACCTAGTTCACAAAATGGTGAGTTTTCTAACTCTTCCACTTCCGTGTATTTAGAAGTTGTCGTCATGATATAAGAAGGCACCATACCCCCTTTTGCCTTCTTTATCCCTCGTTGTACATTACTATGGATTTGTGGTTTCCTGTTCTCTGTGATAGGTTGTAATCCATTACATTTCAGACTTATTTTGGTATTTAGTATTTACCATCTCCCACATCTAGCTAGATGTGGAACTGGTTTCTGGCTTCTTTTGGAAAGCCCACTTTAGTATTTTGATCATTCTCTTGCATTCTGTGACTACAAGAAGACACTAATAGAGAAAAATCTATTACTTGTAAGAGCTTTGAAACAAACTAAAAATTGTAAAGCCTATGAAATTTGAGGAATCTCCATATTGATTACCAGTTGTACTAGTTCTTATGCCACCAAACAGTGTAGAAGGGCCTTTCTCCCCCATAGCCTCTCCAGCATATGTTACTATTTCATTCCTTTATGATGGCCATTCTTTCTGAGGTAAGATGGAATATGAGTGATTTTTAATTACTTGAAAATAGAGATTGAAAATTAAATGAACTATAACCTGGTTTCTATTTATCTTGTCTTTAAAGGCCAAACACAGGAAAAACTATTCTGAAACAATTTTAAGTTTTCACAAATGTAAAAAGGATAGTACAAAGAACCTGCATATATGTATTATTGAGAACTTACTTCCCAGCTATTAGTATTGTACTAAATACGAAGAAGAAGAGGAGGAGGAGGAGTATTAATTATATACTTCGTCCTCCTCCTCCCTTTTCCTCTCCTCTTTCTCCTCTGTATGTAGTACATGGTCTACAGGGTAACATTACAGAGATCAGACTCTTAGCGATCCTCCTGTTTTCAACCTCCCAAGTGCTGGGATTACAGGTGCACCACCACACCTAGTCTCAGTCACCCTCTCAGCATGTCCCGGAGGCAGCGCCGGCATGACACTCTGGAGATTGAATCCCAGTCCCTGTATCTGCCCAAGCAGGCACTTTAGTCCGCTGAGCTATCTGGCCAGCCTTCTCATTCTCTTCTTCATTTTGGTATAAACAGACATTATGACTGTTACAACTAATGTCATAATGAATACCTTTCTAACTGAAGTGTGTTCTTAACTAACTTTGCTACTACTGCTAATAGGTAGCACATTTTTGAATACTTAAGATACTCTAATCACCTTTACTAATGCACTCCATTCTCACTGCAGTACAGTGTGGTGGGTGTTACTATAATCCCCATTTTACAAGGAAGTTGAATCTCTGAGTGTACCTTGCATGTAGTTAGATCAGTGGTGAATAACCAAGCTGGAATCACACTGCATATGGCTTGCGTCAGAGCTGGAGCTCTTCCTTCCCAGCTGGCTGCACTTACTGCCTGCAGTGCTGTATCAGATAGCAGGAATGCTGTAAGTCTATTCTCATGCCTCTTAAGTCCTCTGCTTGCAAGAACGATCGTGTTAATTCTCTGTGCCAAAGCAGTGTGGTGAGTGTTGTACTGCTCTCTTGGCAGCATGGATCCTTACTAGGTTGTATGTCATTGTTTTATCACTTTTCCTTTTTAAAGTGCTTTTTACCCTATTACTCTTGTGCTGTTTCTTAGTTTTTGTTGTATGCTACTAGTATGAGGCTTTAAAGGTGAATTATAGAGAATAACAAGGAAGAAATAAATAAAATCAGCATGTGAAAACCAAAGCATGCATTCATGTTACATCACAAAAGGCCTGAATTATATTTTAGGTTTACTAAAGCTAAACTTTATACATGGTATATAATTATGCTAAGGAACCTGTCTCTATCAGTGTTTTTCATCCAGGTGGCATAGTGGAGTAGTCTGGGGACCTTGAAGAGTTTGTGTCTTAATTGCCAGAGATGCGGGCTTGGATGGGTGTGCACTGGGGCTTGGCACGATGTGTTCCCTAAGTATTCTGATATATTCTACACAGAGATACAAAAAGTGAATGAATGATATGTATAGTCCTTTTTACTTACGTAGGAGCCAGAATATAGATAAATGAAGTCATTTTATACACCCACATTTTCTAAATAGAAAAGCTACTGGTAGCTTCAGAGAATTTTTAACTGATTTAGACACAGATGTTTCTTTTTGTTGCTGCCATAGTTCACCCCAAATAAGACCAGTCTTATATTACTTTTTGCTCCAAAAGATACAGTGATGCTTATTTTCAGGGGATGTCTTATTATTTTTGTGTACAGTAGTCTACATTTATTCATGCACAGGAACCTAGGTTTACTCAAATACAGTCATGTCATCTTTTTGACCACCATTGTCACTCTGCAAACCTCAGATTGTGGCCTGAATTTCCTGTTGTTGCACTTAACCGCGGCACTGTTGACAGTTTCGCTGTGTCTCACATCAGGCATTGAGTTCTCCTTACACGAGTGCTTGTCCATGTAACCTGCTTGTTAACGCATTGGCAGAATCCTGTGAGTTCATTCTCCATTCGAGTCCTGATCTCTTGTAGGGCGGGCCTCACAATGTTTCCATTAAATCAGGTGCTCATTGAAGATTTACGAGATGAGAGTGGCAATAAAGATGATGGTCCAGGGGCAGAGGAGGTAGCTAGTGGTCTAAGTACCTGCCTGGCAAGTGCAAAGACCATGCCATTCCAGTCCCACCATGGGCCTGCTGAGCTGGTCTTCAAAACTGGGTGTGGTGATGAACCCCTTAATCGCAGCGCTGGGGAGGCTGAAACAGGAGGATCACTCCGAGTCCAAGCTGTATAGCAAGACCCTGCAAAAAATACATTAAAAAAATTATGTTGTCATTTATTTTAACTATTAATGTCAACATTACTGTTTATAGTATTTATTTATAGTATTACATACCAAATGTGTCCATCTGGCTACCATCTTAATTGGAGCTTGTTTGGAGGATGAGATTTATATTACATCTTCCTGGAAAAAATCATGCTAGGGCTTATTTTCCAGTTGGATCTTATTTAGGGGGAAGTATGGTAACATTACATTGCCTCAGTCTGCTTTACATCTATTTTCAGTCTAATTGCCTTTTTTAGTCCCCACCCTCTTTTTTAAATTCCTGTTGCAATGCGTAGCGATTATACTCCTTGTGAGAAGTCAGCCCAGATCCATAACACAGGGATTCCTTTTCCACCCCTTTCCTTCCTGCCCTCTGTTCTGTGGTCCTCTTCTTTTACAAAAACCAATCTCTATATTTCCCATTACTCACCTTGAGGCCATTGTTTTGTTTTGTTTTGTTTTTTTAAAATTTTGGCTGGCTAGGCCCACCTTCAGGGCGGGTCTGGTGGGCATGTGGTGCTGGGGATCAAACTGCAGTCCCCTGCACATGACTGAGTTTGCCAAAGCAGGCGCTTTAGACCACTGAGCTATCCGGCCAGCCCCCCATAGACCATCTTAGTGACATAAATCAGACACACGAGCTTAAATGTATCTTGGTTTCTCTTATATGAATTACCCCATTAGGTCTTAGAACTTGGGTGTTATTTATTACTTTATAGATCATTTAAAGATAGTTGCTGGGTAGTTCGTCCTAATTGTCAGTTTTGTTTTTTGTTTTGTTTTGTTTTTTTTTTTTTTGCTTGTTTGTTTTTTTCGTTTTTTGGCGGAACCGGGGATTGAACTCAGGCTTTTGTGCTTGTCAGGCAAGCCGCTTATTATACTGAGTCATCTCCCTGGCCCAAGTTTTTTGATTTTAAGAAAAAGTATTAAAAACCGTACATTACGTACTTTGTGATACATTTTAAAAATGAAAGTTTTTTTTCCTTCCTTTGTTCAGTGTACATTCTTCCTAAACTTTTAGGTCCTCATTGGCATATGGATTTATGGTTTCTCCCAAGTAAGATTACAGTATTGAGGGGTACCCATTGAGTGTGTATTGAATTACTGTGTAAAGACATATAACATGTATAAACTTTGTTGTGAGAAACATAGGATTTATTCATAAATACCCTGTTAATCAGTATTTAATTTGTTATTTTAACAAATGCTCAAAACTTAGAGATGTCATATTTTCAGATGGGCCATCAGCTGATAAAGACTCTGAAGAAAAGAAAAAAGAGCCTTCGATTACATCACAGAACAGCCCTGAAGCAAGAGAAGAGAGGTATTTCACTTTTATGTTATTCATGTTGAAGTTAGACAGTTTTACCAGGTTTGTTGCTTCCTCCATGGTCTTCTGGTCATATAACTACACTTTTAATTTTGTAATCAAATGAAACTACTACATTTATTCTAAGATATTGCAACATTTCCTAGAAATTTAAGAGAGCAGTGAGAGACTGTAGAAGTTTTAAAGTGTTACATTATGCTCAGTACATTTGATTGAAAGGGATTGCTGGGAGAGGCAGCTATAAAATTGATAAGGAATATTCAGCAATTCAAATGGCTACTTTTTCTTTACTATGTTTTTTAAAAGATTTCTTTTGGCCCTTGATCTCATTCTCTTTGCTTTCTTTCCTTCCAAATTTAGCTATGTATCTTTGGAACTTAAAATGCAAAGTTTACCTGTGAATGGTTACAATTGTGCCTTAGCTGCTGTTGACATGAAGAATGATACAGGCCCTCCAAATGACATAAGGGAAATACTATAACTCTCAACCTATTAGATGTCTGATGTGTAAGGTTCGTGTTCCCCAGCCTCTAAAGAATGAATTCTTTTTTTTTCTTTATTATTATTTTGTTTCCATAGTTTTATTGAGAAACAAATAGCAATGAGAGAGTTTCAAACCAAATTGATTGGACAGTTTCAATAATTTAACACATTGCATACATTCTTCCTAGTGGTTAATTGCTGTACAAGATGCGGACTTGATATCCTATTTACAAACACCATTAGAACAAATCACTCTATTCATTAAGAGAATGTAACTATATCTATCCTGACCACTTGGAATACACAGATACAAAATGGACATTCATCTGATCCCTTTTTTTGTTAAGTTCCATCATTTAAATATAGGTATGTAAACTCAGCAAAATATTCTAAAAGAGTCCAGTAGTCCATAATAGTATTGGGTCTTCCGCTTCACTGGCAATGTCAGAAATTGTTGACCTGAGTCCCCTACAGCTCAACATAACAGCATGGCTTTACTTCTTATAGTTTGTTTTTATACTTTTCTGCTGGATGGTTAAGACCAAGGTAAAGCAGGACCTGTGCAACAAGAGTTGTAGCTTTTGGGTCTGAAAAGGTCAGTGAAATCTCAGGATTTATCCTGAGATCCTGTACCTCAGATTGTAGAACCTTTGTCAGTGTCATAAAGAATGAATTCTAAGGAGCAGTAGAGTTCATGAGTAGGAAATACTTACTGAAGGAAAGACAGCTTCTGCCTAAGAGAGGCAGAGGGGACCTGGAAGGTGAGTTGCCCGTCAGCCTACTTCTCAAAGGAAACTTTATGGAGCAAAATCACAAGATGGATACAAAATCAAGAGGTAGATGTTAGGTGGGACAAAGTGTGATCAACAAGATTATCGGTGTAGTCACTCAGTGATGTGGATCCAGTGGGGAGGCAGGTCCCACAGCAAGTGCATGGGAAGAACGCAGGCCTGTCCTGGCAGGCATGACTCGAGGTCTGGTTCCCACCCAGGGAAGCAGGTGTAGTCACCCTTGTCTTGTGGCCCAGCCCTTGACGAATGTGCCTCCACCCCACAGCTATGACGTGTTCTTGTCTTCTGCACTGCCTTCTTCAGGGCCTGTCCCTGCCTGACACCTGCACTAGTTCTGCCTAACTCAGCTGTCTGCAGTACTATGAGGCTCTGCATTTCTTTTTTGCTAGCATATACCATGAACTGTGCAGTGCCTGCATGTTGCCATCATGAATATGGGTAGGAAATAGGTAGCTGCTTCCTTTGTTGTTGGGGGGCTTCAAGATGTGACAGTTGACACTGACTTACAGCAGTGGTTCTCTAGTCTTAGTCTCTAGAAGAACAAGGAGCCTGACACCTGAGCCTTAACCTGGAGCTACTGAGTCAGGAAACGTGGTGATGGCCAGAATTCTGTTTTTAAGAAGCTTCTCAACTATTTAGTAGACACTGAGGTTTTACAAGCTCTGCTTTACAATAGTAACTTCAGGTCAGAACTCTTTTCTGTTCCTCAGCTAGCTTAACTTTCTCCCTCCTCCTTGAGATAGGGTCTCGCTGTGCAGTTATGGCTGGCTTTGAACTTGGAGCAATCCTCCTGCCTCAGCCTCCTGATTATAGGTGTGTACCATCATGCCTGGCATATTTTTATTTTTTTATTTTTATGCAGAACTGGGGATTGAACTCAGGCCCTTGCACTTGCCAGGGAAGTGCTTATTCCACCGAGCCATCTCCCTGACCCCTCGTGCCTGGCATATTTTTAAAATTAAGTTTATTGGTACATTTTAGGTATACCTATTCAACACATTCAACATAGGACTTTGTACTTCTACCTGATTTGTATTTTTTTCTTTCCCTTCCCTTCCCTTCAACCCCTCTTCCTTATTTACAAAAAGTTTTGTTTCCATTACCTCCCCCATCCCTTCCTGTTTCACCGTTTTATTCCTGTTTAACAATATCTTACATTTTGGTCCTTATTTACCCTGTCAGTGTCTCACACTAGAGAAATGATTCACCAATTGAGCTGTTTCCAAGATTTAGCTATTACAAAGTTTGCTGTTATAAACATGAGTGCACATATATTTCTGCAAAGTATTTTCATAAGTTTTCTACTTAGCTGCTCCTATTACATACTTGGGTTTGTATCCACATGAGCTAATTTTATTTCTGGTCTAAAATAGAATGATTACAGACATTATTCCCTTTATACCTCTAAATATTGTGCATCAATTCATGTTTCCTAAGAACAAGTATATTTTTCTCACAGTTACAGTACAGCTATCAATATCAGGAAATTACTGTTGATACAGTTTACCAGACTTTTCATATTTATCCAGTTCTCAAAATATCAATTGAAAAGGAAAAATATTTTTCTAAACTGTTTTCTAAGACTATTGAATTTAATTATCTATTTGGCTTCTTTTAATAGTTTTAAGTTTTTAGTCCATTGCTGTCTTTCCAGACCTTGGTACTTTTCAAAAGTATAGGCCAAAACTTAATGAATCTTTAAAGTGTGCTTTTAATTCTTACATTTAGGGTCACTGGCTTAATGCCTTGGAAATATAAGGCATAGATTTTAAATATATAGTGAAGAAAGAGTAATTAACATTATCTTTGTCACTTTTATATACCTGAGATATGGGCATCACCCAGTCTACAAATCCACAGTATTGTGTGTGCAGGCTGATAAAAAAAGTGGCTGGTGTCTACACACACACACACACACACACACACACACACACACACACACATGCACACACACACGGAAATAAATGAGGACTAGAGAAGCAAGTCAGGTGCATTCTAAAGAATGATAAGGTAAGATCTAAACAACTTGTAAGTGAGCAGGGCTGTACATTTTGGGTGGCGGAAAGTGAGATGGTGATGTGTTTAAATAGACAAGAGTGGCAGAGTGTAGGAGACTAGGGGCCAGCTGCGGTGAAGTTAGGGATGGGTCCATCAATCCACTTGGAAACTTTCTAGCAGTTGACACCTGGAAACTTTCTAGGTGTATGATTATTGCATCAGAGAAGCACATGTGGTTAAAGTATTTAAGAAGTAAATTTTTAAAACATTGATTTGTTCATTTATTGCTGATAGCTGCCTTCAGTTTTTCCGTTTTAGAAATGTAGAGGAAAATGTATGAAAAGCTGTTTGCAGACCTGTGTGTAGACATTATTTGGTTAACACAGGACATAAAAGAAGGCTTTAGGAAGAAATAACCACAGCTGACCTTGTCCCCAGAGGTCTGTTTTCCAGGTATGACAGTAGTTGTGCATTGGACAGAAGTAGGTACGGGTCCTGACAGCAGGTATAGTAGGTGATCTGTGGAGGGGACATTTTAGTCAGTCTGAGAGGAGATCGTGGCAGATACCTTTAATGTGATAAAGTACAAGTGAGCTGGGCCTGGTGCTGCACACCTGTAATCCTAGCAGTCCAGAGGCTGATGCAGGAGGAGGATCACGGTGGGTATAAGAAGACTTGAAGTAAAATTTAATTGAAACTATTCACAAGAGTGTTTTTGGAGTGAAGGTAACAGTCCAGTATAAGAAGTTAATCTGAAGCAACTGAAATTATTAGATTAATTGGAAAATTGCAAATTGTCCTAATAGCATATTAAATTGATGTTTTGGGACAGATGAGACCTTCTCGTGGTCTCCAGACTTCTCAGTGCACATGGCTTCTCCTGAGGAATGCTGGTCTTATTAGAGCCTTGTTATCTTATTAAAGTAGGGATTTTCAGAGTTTTATTCACCTCTCTAGTTTTTGTGGCATTGCCATATTTTCTGGTCTTATCCCTTCACTCTTTTGCTCAAGCCAGGGTCTTTGCTTTTCATGTATTGTAATGAAATATAATATATATTTTCTCTATTAAAATACTGCTTAGCTGGGCATGGTGGCATTTGCTATAGCCCAGTACTCACAGGCTGAGGCAGGAGGATCATTGTGAGTTTGAGATCAGCCTGGGCTACAAAGTGAGCTTAAGGCCAACCTGAACTGCATAATGAGATCCTGGCTCAAAAAGACCAAAAAAAAAAAAAAAAAAGATCGTAAGGGGGCAGGGGAGGTAGCTCAGTAGAATAAGCACTTGCCTTGCAAGCATAAGGTTCTGAGTTCAATCCTCGGTACCACAAAAAAAAAAAATCAAACCATAAATTTGGGCCGGGGAGATGGCTCAGAATGAGCGCTTCCCTGGCAAGCGCAAGGGCCTGAGTTCAGTCCCCAGCTCTGCCAAAAAAAAAAAAATAAAATAAAATACGAAAAAAACTCATTGTTTAGTGATTAAAAGGATGATCAAGGTAAAATACGTCACGTTTTAAAAAAAGACAAAGCTTTTTGATTTGATTTTTTTTTTTTTTTTTTTTTGTACTGGGGAATGGACTCACAACTTCAAGCTTACCAGGCATAGAACTTGTTCTTAACCTATTTGCGGTAAATTTTTTTCCTTACTTAAGAGTCACTAATACACTACTTTATTTAGGCAAAAAGTTGTCTTTAACGTGAAAATAATGTTACTTTAAAACCATTTTTGCTGAGGCTTTGTTTGGTATGTTGGTGTGTTTTTTAGTAGCTCCAGTGGCAACGTGAGCAGCAGGAAGGACGAGACACATGCCCGAGATGCCTACGTTTCAGCCTTTCCTCGAGCACCGAGCACTGCAGACTCTGTGCGGTTAAAGTGTCGGGAGATGCTCGCTGCAGCTCTCCGGACTGGAGGTGAGGAGAGGGGTGTGTGTGTGTGTGTGTGTGTGTGTGTGTGTGTCCGGTGAGGAGAGGTGTGTGTGTGTGTGTGTGTGTGTGTGTGTGTGTGTCTGGACTGGAGGTGAGCTGTGTCTGTGTCTGTGTCTCTGCTGCCCCCAGCCCTGCCCCCTAGCACCTTCCTCTCAACAGCTGTCCTGGGCTCTGCTGAACACACGGAGTTGTTGCTAACAGTGCTCTTTGAATGTTGAGAGAAAAAGAGTATCTGTTCATTACTTATTACCGGGGCCTCTAGTTATTATCACTATGTAATTGGAAATACTTGATTCCTTTAATGTGGCTTCTTTTCCTAATTCATAGTAATACAAATTTTTCCACCACAAATCTTGCATTTTTCTGCATTTAATTTTGCATATTACTTACCCTATCCTTACATTGAGAGTTAACAATATAAATTGTTAAAAGTTAGTACGGCATATGGTATGTAACTTTTATAATCTTAATTCTCTTTTCCATTTTAAGTGGAAAAGTAGTCTTGATTTTTAATAAACTTTAATTTGAAGGTATGTAGTCTTAGTATGTAAAATTTTGGCTTTAGAAGTTCCATATATAGGAAAATACAACATGTTACTCCATAAATATGTACAATTTAAATTTAAAGCTGGGGTGAAACCTCAGCAGTATAAATGTCTACCTGGTAAGCACAAGGTCCTGATTTTGATACCTGGCACTAAAAATAAATAAATTTTAAAAAGAACAAGGGAATAAATGTCCTACAAATTAATATTTTTCTATTTTGCTGAACAATAGTATGACCTACTTTTCTCCTTACTCAGCTCTTTGTCCTTTGATTTCTTTTTCTTCTTTTTTTTGTATTTTTAGGGAAGGGTCTATAGGGTGTTCAGGGTCTTCTTACTAGATTGGACTCATAGTGATCCGCCTGTTTATAGCCTTCCAAGAGCTGCAATTACAGGCATGCGCCACCACGCCCAGTCTCAGTTGCCATCTCAGTGCGCCCCAGGGGGTGGGGCTGGCACAGCAGGCCTGGGGATTGAACCCTGAGCTTGCAGGCGCTTTAATCCACTGAGATATTTTCTCTAGTTTTTATTTATTTCCTTTTATCCTTTTGAATATTTGTATAAGTCTTCTAAGGATATCTATGTGATTGGCAGATGAAATGAATGGTTTCCTAGAGGAGGAGCCCAGTGTGTAATAAGAGCAGATTCCAATTAAAACGAAAGGATTCTTTATATGTCGCAGATGGGCTTGAAGAAATACGAGTCTTAATTTACCTTGTGTTGTGCCTTCCTTTTAATGTTACAATAACTTCATTTTCTGTGCCTGTTTTTAGATGACTACATTGCAATTGGAGCTGACGAGGAAGAACTAGGATCTCAGATTGAGGAAGATATCCTTTGTGTGCATGATCATAATCTAGGATAATTACAAATGTCTTTCGTTTTTTTTTTTTTTTTTTTTTTTTGGTGGGACCGAGGATCTGAGGATTGAACTCAGGCCTTTGTGCTTACAAGGAAAGTGCTTATTCTACTGTGCCATCCCCCCGGCCCCTTAAAATGTCTTTCATTTGATATATAATTTAGGGGTTATTTTTCAGTTTCTTTTTTGATCATGGTGTTTTTTATTTATTTTTATTTTTTTTTTGTGGCCGGCTCAGCCTGCCCAAGGGGCAGGACTGCTGCGGCATGTGGTACCGGGGATTGAACCGCTGTCCCTGCGCTTTGCCTAAGCTGGTGCTTTAGACCTCTGAGCTCTCTCATTGGCCCCCTAATTATGTTTTTATCAGGAAGGAAAAGAATATTCATGTCAGTTTATTTTGCTTATTACTCAAAAGTAAATAACACGGTTGTGTTGGCATTTTTATTTTTTGCCTTGAAGATTGAGAATGTGTAATCTGAACTTAAGGGCAGGAGAAATGTGTAAAAGAGCAGGGGTAACACATCAGTGGGAGGATTTTTCAGTGGGGAACTTTAGTGGCATGCACAGTCCCCTGAGTTAATTGTCCTAGAGCAAGGTGGTGGCCCCTTAGAGCTTTCAGTGACACTGACTGACTACAGCGTGCTTACCACAGCCACCACTGTCCTAGCAGGAAGTGTGTGCATGCTGGGTACCATAGCAAGCACTCTGGGGAATATACCCTGCACACGGGGAGGAGAGTGGACTATCTAGATGACAGTGTGACATAAATCTGTCCAGAGCTCGGTGTTTGCTGCAACCTGACCTGTGGAAAACCACCATTCACTGTTGCTGAGTTGGGAGAAGTGAACTTTCTGTTTTTTCTATATATGTATATATTTAGTACAGGGTCTACAGAGTTTCACTATGTAGATTGGACTTGTAGTGATTCTTCTGTTTTCAGCCTCCCAAGTGCTTTGATTATAGGTGTGTGCCACCATGCCCAGTCTCAGTCACTGTCTCAGCATGTACCGGGCACTGGAGGAAGGGCCAGTACGGCATGCCAGGGATCAAACTCCGGGCCCTGCACTCTGCCTAAGCAGGTGCTTTAGTCCGCTGAGCTATCTGTCTGGCTCGAGAAATAAACTTTGAGGCCTATGAAAGGTTTTTCTCTCTGAAGGACCCAATAGAATTATGGAACCATGGCTATTGAGACTCAGGATTCTTACTGGAATTCAGATTATGTTCAGTGGATTGAGTATGTTATAGAAAACTGTTGATTTTGCATGTTGCTAGCATTACACATTGAGAAAAAAAGCATTTAAAAAAAAATAGAAGTAGTAACATTATTATTTGCCAGTTACAAATAAAAGAATGAGACACATAGTCTTGTGGGGGTTTTTTTAATGTATTTGATATAGGGTCTCACTATGCTGCTCGGACTCAGTAATTATCCTCCTGTCTCAGCCTCCCCAGCATTGGGATTGCAGGCATGAGCCAACATGCCCGGACTCGATGGCCAACTCAGCATGCCCTGGGGTGGGGCCAGCATGGCATGTGCTGCCTCAGTTTGAACCCTGGTCCCTGTGCTTACCTAAGCAGGCACTTAGTCCACTGAGATATCTCGCCTTCTTCACGTTCTTGTTTTTAACTTAAATTGGAAACAGTTTTTGTGTTCTGCTTACAAATCTCAGGAATTCTTATTTGACTGAACAGGAAAATGTGATCTTATCTTCATAATTTATTTTCATTTTTTCCTTAATGGCCAAGTACCTATATATCAAGAAATAAGAAATACAGACATGAAATATAAAAATAGAGTACGAAGTAGGATATCAAATCTTAAAGATGCGAAGAATCCAAATTTAAGGAAAAATGTCCTGTGTGGGAATATTCCTCCTGACTTATTTGCTAGAATGACTGCAGAGGTGAGCATACCTTCATGTAAAGTTTCCATGATGTAATTCCATGGTGCCAAATGCAAAACTTACGTAGGTCAGAAAAGTACTATCAGAATATTTACTTAATTCTGTTTTATATTTAATTCTAATTTATATAAATATTAAGGTTACTGAATCTATTAAATGCTTTCTTTACCCCTTCTGTTGCTGTTTTAATGTCTTTTTTGTAATACATTAAATCATTATCTAAAACCAAAAATAGTTCACTTTTTATGAATTCACATAGGATTGTGAATTTCTAATTGGAAATAGACTTTGTACTGTAAGACTTTTTTTCATGATTCAACACAGTTAAGATTGGTTTTATGTTATGGATTGTTCCTTAATTTTATATACAGAATGATAGAAAAAAAGGAAATTCATCTCTTACTATTTATTGTCATTGCTGCTAATAGACAATGGCTATAGTGAATTTATTTTGCTACATAGCTAATAAAACTTGCAAAACTCTGAGTAGCTTGTAATCCCATCTACTGAGGCTTAGGCAGGAAGATTGTGAGCTGAGACAAGCCTGGGTGACTCTGCAAGACCCCATCTCAAAATAAGATTTTAATAAGGGGATGAAAGGTGGAGGTATAGCTCAGTGGTGAAGCACTTACCTAGCATAAAATGAGACCACATGTTTCCATTGCTGGAATATCAGTACTTTTTGAATTTGTCACCTTTTTTGTTTATTTATTTATTGTTTTGAAACAGGATCTCACTAGGTAGATAAGGCTGACCTTGAACACACTGTGTAGCCTACACTGGCCTCAAACTCCATCCACCTGACCACCTACCTCAGCCTCCCAAGCACTGGCATTACAGGCCTGTGTACCATATCAAGCTGTCATTCTTTTTATCTGTTACCTTTTTTCCCTTGCATTTATTTTCAAGCACATTATAAGCATTGTATCATTTTACATATTTTGTGTGTGTGTGTATGGTACCCAGGATTGAACTCAGAACCCTGTGCTTGCCAGGCAAGCACTTACTCTACTGAGCTGTCTCCCCGGCCCATTTTACGTCTATATGTTTGGGAGACATTGTAAAAGTATTTTTTTTTTTATAGAGCTATACTGTCATCACATCAGCAAAGCTCACAATTTCTTAATGTCTAGTTCATGTTTTCCTGTTGGTATGTTTACTTTGTACCAGGATTTAGTCTGTACATGTAGTCACCAGCTTTGAATCCCACATTGTGAACTTACTCATTTATTTTACAGTATGAATTTGTGTTTCTTTTTCATGGTACTATTTAAATTTTTTTTCCTTTCTCCTTTCTCTACACTGGAGGCCAATTCTGTGTGGTTGATTATGCTCACCACCTTTCTTGCTGCATAAATATTTCATAAGTGACACTCTTGCTTTAGGTGTCTCACGCCAGGAGGCACCTAGTGTCTTGTGGCTTCCCTCTTTGCACGCAGCATTTGTGCGTGGGCTTGCGCAGGATGATGAGTCCCCCTGGCACATTCCCTACTTGCCTTTTGTCTGATGGGCTCATCAGTTAGTGATCACAAGCCTAGTGACTGTTTGAAGAAATATTAAAGAAAGCAGACTCTTAAAAGTACTCTGAGGAAAAACTAATTTAATATTTTTAGAACTGATTGATTTCATTACTGTTAACCTAGCTGAGCATAAAAGCATCCAGGTATAGGATGGAGATAGGCATTTATTTGTCACTGTGGTATTGCTGCCTCTCTCGTAGGAAATGGCTAGTGATGAGCTCAAAGAGATGCGGAAAAACTTGACCAAAGAAGCCATCAGAGAACATCAGATGACCAAAACAGGAGGAACCCAGACTGACTTATTCACATGTGGCAAATGTAAAAAGAAGAATTGTACTTACACACAGGTTTGTGATTACTTACACATTCTTATTTTTTGTATCAAGAATGTTTTCAGCTCCTGCTGGGCGAGGTGGTATGTTCCTGTATTCCCAGCACTGAGGAGGCAGAAGCAAGAGGATGAGCACAGGTTCAGGACCAGCCTTGGTTGTGTGGTGAATTCAAGGACAGTCTGAACTACATAAGGAGACCCTGCCTTACCCCCACCCAAAAAATGTTTATAGCTCCTCCTTCCTTCCTTCCTTTCTTTCTTTCTTTCTTTCTTTCTTTCTTTCTTTCTTTCTTTCTTTCTTTCTTTCTTTTAATATACAACTTCCTACATTTTTTAACCCCTTCACAAGTTTTATTTATCTATTTTTTGTATTTAGTACAAGGTCTATAGGGTCCTACTACACAGATGAGACTTGTAGTGATCCTATTTTCAGCCTCCCAAGTGCTGGGATTATAGGTGTGCCACCATGCTCAGTCTGCTCCATTGTTTTAAATAAGTAACAAAGATAATTTTGTGCGGTATGTTTGAAGAGATGTAAGAATTCTTAATGCCAATTTCAGTTACTGAAAATAAATTGATATATCTTCACAAAAAACATTCTAGGGGCTGACGAGATAGCTCAGTGGACTAAAGCACCTGCTTAGCAAGCTTAGGCAAATGTAGGGACCACGTTTCGATCCGCAGTGCCACATGCTTCTCCAGCCCTGCCCCCAGTGCAGGCTGAGCCTGCCACCAAAAACAGAAAAAACCACCTCTGTAAAAGCTATTGCCATGAAAGTGGGATTCAGAACGGGTTTCTTCAACATTCCTAGATCCTGATACAAAGTAAGTATATAAACAAGAAAGCATGAATATGAGCTAGACATTACACACTAACCAAGAAATTAGTGTTAGCTTTGTTGAATGTGATGACAGTATAGTTTTATAAGAAAAAAGTTTTAATAATGTCTCCCAAATATAAAAGTAGATAAAACATAGGAGATAATAAAAATAGCCATGTTATTTTCTAATTGCTTATAAATAGTTGGTTACTATAAACTTTAAGGGCATAAGTCTTTGTAGACATATATTGTAGGAGTCCCTTCCTGGTTCTTGTTTCAGTCTAAGAAGTTAATATTTGTAATCCCAAAGATATGTTATTGGAATCCCACCAAGTTAATTCTAATCTACCACTCCCAGTGCAACCCACGGTGAAAGTAAAGATACTAAAACATTTATAATCACTGGGGAGTCAAGGGGCCCTAAGTCCAGCCATGAAGATGGCTTTCCAGAACCAAGAGAGTGACCCAGGGCCCCACCCAGTTTTATTCAGTGGAGGAGTGGCTTGAGGAGGAATAACGGAGAATTGTGGGAAGTAGGTGACTACTGTGAGCTGAGGTAGGTGGGTGGCCTACATTTACCTCTACTATATACAGAGAGGATATGCGGAGAAAGTAATCTGCTTTATGCTATTGAGATAGTATCTAATGTTTTGGGGGTCTGGTGCTTCAGCTTTGATGTAGTCTTTCAAGCCCCAGGAAGTCATAGCCTCTATCTCGAGGCTCAATCCCAGCTGGCGGCGTGGAGCATTAGCTCTTCTGTCCTGTCTCTACCCTGCAGCTCACATTAAAGAGCAGCAGGTGTAGGTTACCAGGGAAACATGCACAGTACCTTCAGAGACTATCGCCAGCACCTCAGCTAGACCCATACACATTGCTTAAGGCCAATTGAGTGATAAACAGAAGTCCTAACTGGCTGTGTACATATCAGTATGAGGAAATTGGGTCAGGCTCAGTCAAAGTGGAGACAGCTGCTCTTCTTTCATGGAGAGCTGCTCAGGCGGTCCTCCACAATATATGATATAAAGCTCAGCATGCAGGTACTTCAGGCTCAGCTAACTCTAGATGTTGGTCCTTTTTGTCACACATTCATGACTTTATGTGCATATATGATGTGACTGACTTTTTGCTCTTGAAAGCCAAACAAAACATGTCATAGTGTGACTGTATGTGTCTATGTAAAAATGATTATCATAGGGCCGGCAATATAACTCAGCAGGCTAAAGCTCCTGCTTAGGCAAGCTTAGGGGAGCACAGGGACCACAGCTCGACCGGGGGTGGGGGGAGCAGCTAAGCAGGCCACCAAAATGAAAGATTATCACAGTCTTAACTTCATTTTCCCCAAATGACTTTTTAGGCTTTGTGTACAATCTGCTGAACTCAAAGAAATTTCACCCATGAAGAGCGCAGTGATTTATTTCTCAAGTTTAGTAGTGTATAGTAGAATGTTACGTAAGTTTCAGCCTCTCACTTTTTATAGGCATGTATAGTACTCCATTCTGAGATATGTTTGATTTAACCTTGCTTAAAGCCTTCACCTTTTTGAAATCTTTGTCACAGTTGTAAGTCTAGAACTTTAGTGTTTTATTTTGTAGAAGTTTTAATACTGGGACCAGGGAGATGGCTCAGTGGAATAAGTGTTTCCCTGGCAAGCACGAAGGCATGAGTTCAATCCCCGGTTCCGCAAAAAAAAAAAAAAAAGTTTTAATACTGAAATATAACCACATATGGTGAAAGTGGTTTCATAAAACTTTGAGTTTACATTGCAATATTTTTTTTAACCAGCTAGAAAAACCTCAGCAAAGTAGAATAGTAATTATGTAATCAGATTACAAACAGCTAACAAACAATACCAATTGCATCTTTAATTTTTTTTGTTTGTAATTTTTTTAAATTTTAATTTGAAGAGTGAAAACAGAAGCAAAAACAAATGGAAAATTGACAGAAACAGGGTAATATACAATAATACATGTTACCCATTTTCAAAACAGGGATAGCTAATTAACGATGGTTGCTATATTATCTACTTTTTTCATTTTAATGAGAAAAAAGAAAATAACAATGAAAGTTTCAAGACAGTTTAATATGACAGTTACAATAATTAATACATTGCATATTATTGGAGAGTTACCTAGGGAGAAAAATTCTCTCAGGCTTTCACAGAGAGCAAATCGGTCAAGCAATGGCCGTGACTTATCCACATGGCTGGCACTGATGAAAGACCCACAAGGTGCTGTACATGGTTCCAGGGTAAATCCTGAGGGGATTTGACTGACCTTGTCAGATAGCAAAAGTTACATTTTGAGTTTTACAGGTCTTGCTTTAACTTGGTCTTAACCATCCAGCAGAAAAGGGCAACCATGAGGCATAAAAGTAAAGCTATATTAATAATGCTGAGCTGTAAAAGGCTCATATCAACAACTTCAGACAATTGCCATTTGTGCTGATAACCTTCTGCTGTTATGGACTATTGGGTTATTTGGCTGAATTCAGGTACCTACAATCTTTGGTCTGGCATCAAGTATGAAAAGGTCCTTTAAAGACTTCTCCAAATACAGCAGTGGTAGGGCTGGGGATATAGCTCAGCAGCATAAGTGCCTGCCTGGTAAGTGCAAGGTCCTGTGTTCAATCCCCAGTACCGCATAAAAGAAAAGAAAGAAAGAGAAGGGGAGGGGAGGGGAGGGGAGGGGAGGGGAAAAGAAAAACAGCAATGGTGATTTATTTTATTTATTTATTTATTTATTTGTGTGTGTGGCCAGCTCAGCCCACCAGGGGGCGGGGCTGGCTGGCATGTGGTGCTGGGGGATTGAACTGCGCTCCCTGTGCTTTGCTAAGCTTGTTCTAAGTAGGTGCTGTAGACCACTGAGCCATCTCACCAGCCCCAGTGGTGATTTCATATAAAGATTTTGGTGGCCTGCATGTTGCACCTGGGGTTCCAGGGCTGGCACAGCATGCAATACTGGGGATCAAACCTGGATCCTTGTGTTTGCCAGGCAGGCACTTAGTCTGCGGAGCTATCTCTCTAGCCCTTATACCACATTTTGTGTATCCATCCTTTGGAAACTTGGGTTGCCTCTCTCCCTTTTGGCTGTCATTCTGTAATGTCATTTGTAATGCATTTGCGCTTACAAATACTTTTTGATACTGCGTCATTTCTTTTGGTTGTATATTTAGCAGAAGAATTATTGGGCCAGATGATCTATGACCTAATTAAGCAATATAATATCTGCTTACAGAAAATACATAATGATATGAACAAGGATTTGGGGAGGTTTGGATGCTGGGGTTTGAACCCAGAGCCTCATGTTTGCTAACCATGCACTGTTACTTCTGAGCCATATCTAGTCTTTGAGCAAAGATAAAGTCATCCATTTATCTGCCATCTAGAGAAAACGGTGGTAAATATTTTGTATTATATACTTTTCACTTAATTGTTAAAATGTATTATCTTCCTCTTTGTAAATACATAAATAGCTGCATAATATTCCATCAAGTGGATGTAGTCAGTTTAGTTCATTATTTCCTGATTGCATATTTAATTTCTTTCCAGTAATTGTGCTATTACAAAAATTTTCAAATTCTTGTATATAGATATTTAGTAATCTTAGGTAAGATCAGATACCAAATTTCTGGGTTACAGAAAAAAAATTTTTTTATGCATTTAGTACAGGGTCTCACTACACAGATTGAATTCATAGTGATTCTCCTGTTTTCAACCTCCCAAGAGCTGGGATTACAGGTACCCGCCACCACGCCCTCTTCCCCCTCCCCAGTCTCAAAAAAATCGTCCCCTCAGCGCACCCTGGGGGCGGAGCTGGCACAGCACACCAAGTGTCGAACCCTGGTCCCTGTATCTGCCTAAGCAGGTGCCTTAGTTCACTGAGCTATTTGGCTGGCCCTTAGAAAACCGGTTTTTAAAGCTCTTGTTAATTTTAGAAAGATGTTGGCAGTTACACATGTCAAAATAAAGTGTTCTTTTTTTACATCTTTGTTAACACGTTTAAACTTGGATGTTTGTGTTTGTTTTTTTTTTGTGTGTGTGGTACCAGGGATTGAACTCAGGACCTTGAGCCTTGCAGGCTATGTCTGTGTTTCTTATTCATTAGTGCTTTTCATTTTTTGTTGGACATTTCTAAAAGTATAGTATAACAAATGGCCTTAGAGATTTTATTTATCTGGCATGAATTAAACACGTAAGACAAGGATGTAGAAAAATGGAGTTTGGACTTACATGCTTTTTTGATATTTAGTTTATTTCACCTTATTTCAGAATCTCACATATTTTATTGTGATTTCATTGTGATTATTATATATCTATATGTAGAATGTTCTTATTTAGGTTGGATACTTTAATGGTACTACAAAAGGTAATATATATTGTACTTAATTTTGCTACAGGTACAAACCCGTAGTGCTGATGAACCAATGACAACATTTGTTGTCTGTAATGAGTGTGGAAATCGATGGAAGGTATGGCCCCTTTTTGCGTTTATAGTTTACTTGTTAGTAAAATAATTCCTTCTGGGTTTTTCATGTCTGCCTATATGTTTAAATTATACACATGTGCTCACATTGTCCAATCTTCTAGGACCCCCTGTGTAACTACTTGTAAGAAAATATGGTACTAGAAATAGTTAATTTGACTTCACCTACCAGTGTACTTGTTTTGGTACAGAAGAGAATCGTATGTGCTTGGTTTGCACAGCACTCTCCTGTATATACTGTAGTTCATTAGATTGTTTCCACTCTACCCACAGGATTGCCCTCAGGGCCTTGGCACTGGGCTGTAGCCCCAGCAAGCCTTTTTTTAAAAAGAGAATAAAAAAATTAAAACAATACAGAATTTAAGAACAAGATGATAGGAAATTAGCAATAGTTATTATATTTTATATTGTTATCTTCATAGTACTTGCTCAGGTTACCAGATACAGGCATGCAGAATTGACCAGACAGTGTTGGCACTAACTGTTCCTTTCAGTGAGCCAACAAAAATAAGTAATTAGTACAATTATTTTAGCTATCTTGTGTGTGTAAAATACACACACACACACACACACACACACACACACACACACACACTTTTTTTTCCCTTCTTCTTTTTCCTCTCCTCCATTGCAGTTCTTTGCAGTTGAACAGTTTCTTACCCTGTCACAGTAGCTATTGTACCTTTCAGATCTTATTTATTCTTTCAGGTTGTTACACTAGGGACACAGTGCAGTGTTTGCACATGTGGGTTTGATTTATTTCACTTGTGAGTATGGTCTCTGGTCGCATCTGTTTACCTATAAAAGTCTCAAGTTTATCTTTATAGCTGAGTATAAAAACACACCATCTTTTCTCTCCATCAGCATTAGCATCTCTTGTATCCATCTATCCATCAGCATCTCGTGGTTGATGGCATCTGGGCTGTGCCCAGGATGTAGCTGGGGCAGACTGCGTTGCTGTAAACATGCCCCTGACGTCTAGAGACGTGGCTCATACGCTGCTGAGTGGCCCAGACAACCCTTCTCCTTGCATCTTTGCCGCCGCGTCTCAGCGTCCTAGGCTTCTAGACGCACACTGCAGCACCCGGCTTGTTTCCATGCTTACGCTGCAGAAAAAGTCTATGCATCTTTATTGATTGTTTTAAGGGAATTTAATTCTGGAAAATTAATTTCAAATAAGTCATTCTTGAATGACTTTTGAGCTACAAATAAAATTTAACAATGGTAGAAGGCTTACATACCAATTCCAAGAACAGTTTTACTATTAATCTGTAGATCAGAGATGTTGGAGTGTGGAGCAGGGCGGATCCTTGGAAGGAGGAAGCCTGAAGGTGCACAAGCTGTCTGTGAGCTCCGTGCTCAGCGTGCCAGCTGCTCGCCTTGCTGTGCTGTACCCTCCTCACACACTCAGTACAAGTGCTGCGCTGCAGGTTGTAGTGAGGAAGGAGACAGTGCAGAGCACCTGCCAGTGCCCCAGACCTGAGTGTTATTTCTGTCAGTGTTTATGAAGTTTGTAGAAGGGTTTTTCCCATCAGTTACAGTTTGCAGTTTGTGGCTCATTTTCAATTAGTCATATAGCTTAAAACATTTTCTGAGAATCGGAAGTGAGTTGAAGGTAGGTATAGTGTCATGTGCCTGCAGTCCTAGCATTCTGGGAGGCTGAAGCAGGAGGATTCATTCAATTGAAGTCCAATCTGGACAGTTTAACAGTTTAGCAAACCTTGTCTTAAAAATAAAACACATTAAAAGAAATCACCAACAGAGTGAAAAGATAACCCACAGAGTGGGAAAAACTTTCAGTCATTTGGCCCTCAGACAAAGGACTTCTATCTAGAACATAAAAAGAATTGAAAAAACTCAGAACTCCAAAATTCAAAGGCTCAATCCATAAATGGGCGTGAGATGAATATATGCTTCTTAGATAAAGAAATACAAACAGCAAATAAGTACATGAGAAAATGTTTAGCATCATTGGTTGTTTGAGAAATGCAAATTAATACAACACTGAGACTCCATCTTACTGCAGAAAGAACAGCTATCATCAAGAAGTCAACCAATAACAAATGCTAGAGAGGGGCTGAGGGGAAAGAGGAATGCTTCTCCACTGTTTGTGGGAGTATAGAGTGGTATAGCCACTGTGGAAATCGGTGTGCAGATAGATTCCTTAAAAAGCTAAGGTTGGAGGTCCCATCCAACTCGGCATTTCCTTTGGGTGTTTTCCCTGAAGAACTAAAAATAGCATAGCACAATGGTGTATAAGCACCCATGTTTATACCAGCACAATTTAGAATAGCTAAATCCTGGGAAGGACCCAAATGCCCATCAACTGAGGAATGGATAAAAAAGATATAGTGCTGTTACACAGTGGA